TGGAGGGGGTGAGGCAAGGGCAGGGAAATATGATGGAGTACCTCAAAGTTTGATGCAAAAACACATAATCGCACCGGCTCGCCTGGTGCGTTCCAACCTAGGTTCACATTTGCATAAAAGCATCACTTAAAACAGCTCTATGTTTTTAGCAAAATGATAGCTTATTTAATGTGTCATTGAATTTATTTGAAAATTTACAATTTTCTTCCAAAATCAATCCTTAATAATTACCTCTCTGTTAAGTCGCTCCACGTATTATTACAACGTCACCGAATGAATCAGTGGTACCAGTTGGCAATCCATTTAGCTTGAAATGTGGCGCACGAGGTTTTCCACCACCAGACATAATTTGGACGCTGAACGGGATACTAATAAGCAATGCTAAGAAGGGTTACTTTGTCGGTTAGTTTGAAGAATTCATTCCAAGTTTATATCCGTAAAAAAAACCAGCAATTTTTTAGAGTGTGACTAAGTGAGGAAATGTTCCAGAAATTTTTGAATTTTCGTTTTTTTTGTTGGCATATTCACTAGCACGGAAGAATGATTATATTTTTTCATTATGAGAACTGAAAGGATTTCTCCAGCTTTTTAAGGAATTTGAACTCTCTGAGAGGATATCTGGGAGTTTGTGGTTTTCTGGAATTAGGCGCTTAATGGCTGTTGATTTTACTATTCAATTCTTCATCCTTTCGGCTGGTAGCTGTTTAAGAAGTTGCAAATCCGAAATCTTTTGAAATTACAGTGCACACGGATAAGAAATTTTGAAATGGGAGAACCAGTACTTTTTTAAACTACCGTACACACGAATAGGAGCCGTATCGTAATAGCCTGGAGTAGACCTTTTATTGTATCTCATTATAGTTTCTAGCGCTAGCAGTAGAATGCTGCTGAGATGCTCGTCACTTTTTCTAAACCTTTCCGCGCAAAAAATCAGTGCATGTTTTAGCCGAAGATGGTACTTTGTTTGTCGAGAAGGCCGAACATCAGGCACGACTCATCTTCAAATGCACAGCCAAAAATAGTGCTGGTTCCGACGAAAAAGAATACACCGTCAAAACCATAAGTAAGGTTCTCTTATCAGATTTCCAGAGTTATGAGAATTTATAAATTTTAGCCGAGAATATAAATTTCGGGAATTAATTTTTAAACGTTGCTAGCCATCGGTTTTCTTTATTAGCATTGAAAGAAAGAGTTGTTTTCGGATGGTTGCTGTTGGTATGTTTACCACTCGAGCTATTTCCCATGCACTTTCCACCTGTCATGGGGATGAAATGGAGGAATTTTTGATTTTTACCTGGTGTCTTCAAGTTCTTGGCAACTAATAAACGTTTGCAGAAAGTCATCGATCACCCCGGTGGGTTTAAAAGTAATCGAGACAGATGACCGGGACAAGTATAAGAAGCTTCTGTATCACCGGCCCAGCGATGGTAGGAAAGAAATAAGAGGGAGGGGAATTTTTCTGGAAAATGTAAAATAACTCCCTGTTTTTTACAGCAGGTTTCCATTTCAGGTTTTCAATCTTTTTCTCACTAAGAAATAAATAGCTGCATTAACATTCGCTAATTAAAGAACTTTATGGGGCGTTAAAAAAGTTTTAAAGCAACTTTTCTTTGACCGTCAACGCAGCTGTTTGGCAGAAGCTATGTACTGTCTTAGAACACTAAGGATCTCATGTCATAAACCGGTCGTCATTATTATTTTTGTGTGAGAATTTCTAAATATCGGAATCTTTCTGATTTTTTCAGATGTCCGAATTCGGAGTTTTCTTTCTATGCATCCTACTCCGTAAAGTTTCTCACTGTGCTGTAGGATCGGCAACGTTCGAGATAAGATAATGATGCTCAACATCTGTCACTGACATTTCGAAACATCTGAAATCTTTTTGAGCAGTTGTGTTGGGAGAACATTTGAGGTGGTAATTTCTGAGACGAAACGAATGTCAAAATTTCAAAGCGTCTTTTCTTTGAAAAAAACATTGGCAAAGCAATTGGAAAAGCATTGGCAAAGCAATTGGAAAAGCTGTCAGTTGCATAGGTGGACTATGAATTACAGCTGAACAGATTATTAAAGTGATTAATCCCCAATTAAAGAAAATTCGGGTATATCCGTATGTTTGATAGCATAAATACTGTTGTTAGTCTAGGTCCGCCAGTAGTAACGAAGAAAGGTTTCAAAACAATCAATGCAACTGAAGGTGATCCATCGTTATTGCTTTGCGAAATCGAAGGAGACATTCCCGAGATCTACTGGTATAAGGTGAGCCTATTTCACAGTAAGGTACATTTTCTTCAATAACTGATTAGTTCTTGGGATCATGTCGACATGTCGTACACACGAGCCAGACTCACGGCTTGCCTCACCGAGGCAGTGCATTTGGTAAAGGCAACTCGAAAATTGAGAATCCTCGAGAAATACGGTGCTAGACAATAACAGATACTGATTGGTCACTTTCTGCATAGATTTTTTGGAACAACAGGTTAGTCTTCGTGGTCTTTACAGTATGCTGCCTACTTTTCGGAGTCATCGGAATATACCGTCTTATTTACGAGGGGTCGGAGTCCATCGGAATTGTTGATACATGAAGAGCGATTCAAGTATAGTGGACATCAAACGAATACATTATATCAACTAGCGGAAGTATAAAATCCAAAAAAATGCAATGCTTTTTAGCAGAAGATGATGGCAACTCCAGTTTTTTGTGAATTAGCGCGAGGTTTTTCACTGTATTCATTGCGTCAATTCAACCAATATAGCGAGAAGAAATTGTTAGTCTTCTGGACATGACTGTCCAGGGCACTGAGTAAACGAAAATAATCATAAATTGATTTTCACCGAATTTTTCAATCGTCAGGATACCATTCTTGTATGTTACCTTGTTCTCTTGTGAGCTAATCTAAAAGCAAGGGCTTATGCATTATTACGGAAGATACCGTAACCAAAAGAAGAAAAGAGAAATGTCTGTTTTCTTTCCGGAAGCGTATCTTAATTGTCGATTTTTAAACGCTGAACATTTTAAAACCCAGGCCGGAACGCACTAGGCTGGCCGGCGCGATCACGCTTTTTGCACCAAACTTGAATTACGTTAACTCCATGAGTGGTTGTTTCTTTACACCTACCTTGTGCTCTCAACACCGTAAATCATCGTAAATTTTGCATAAAAGAAAACATACAAATTCCATTTAGCTTGAAAATGACCCAGCCGTTCAAAGAGTAATTTCCCGCCAAAAATTTGAATGCCCGTACATGAGAACCACGCACGCCTGGGGCTGAATTTGATAACTTTAAGTCGTATATGGGCTAGGAATATCACCTTAAAATTTCAGCTTCCCAGCTTTGCTAGTTCTCGAGTTAGCCATTTTCCCGCCGAAAAATCTCACGTGGCCGTACGCGAGAGCCACGCACACCTAGAGGCTGAATTTGATAAGTTTAAGTCGTACGTGGATTGGGAACATTCCCTGGAAATTTCAGCCGCATCTTTGCTAATTCCCGAGTTAGCCATTTTCCCGCCAAAAAATTTCGCGGGGCCGTACGTGGGAATCACGCAAGCCTGGGGATGAATTTGATAAACTTAAGTCGTACATGGGCTAAGAACATTTCCTGAAAATTTCAGCTTCCCAGCTTTGCTAGTTCCCGAGTTAGCCATTTTCCTGCCGAAAAATCTTACAGGGCCGTACGCGGGAACCACTGGCACCTGGGGGCTGAATTTGAAATCTTAGAGTTACATTTGGACGAGGAACATAACCTCAAAATTTCAGCTTTCTATCTTTTCTCATTCCCGAGTTATCAAGTTTCCTGCCGAAACTTTCCCCCTCTCGTACGTGGGGCCCAGGCGTGCATGAGGAATGGTACCGCGGTTCTGGGATGGTACTTGACCGGGGTACCCATTAGCAAAATCTCGTCGCTGAAACTTGCTTGGTTGCCGAGTTGAAATACCCGAACAGACGAACACACACACACACACACAC